CCTTTATGATTGCCATCATCCTCATTATGGCCAAGAATCAAGTCCAAGTTCAATTTCAAAGTCTAGTAGATCAAAGAAAAAGCATTACATCATTATAGGTTGTGGTGTAATTGGAGGGGTACTCATTTGGTTAGTAACTCAGTTACTCGTGATCAGACTTGCAGGGAAAGGGAGAATGGAAAATGATGGAGAAGAATGGAGTATGGTTTCATTTCAAAGATTGGGATTCAATAAATGGGATATTTTGGGTGGTTTGACGGATCAAAATTTGGTTGGAAATGGAGGGTCAGGAAATGTATATAGAGTGATCACAAAGAAAGGCAAAAAAGTTGCTGTTAAAAGTATAAGGCATGAAAGAAACGAAGGCCACATTTTGGAGAAGCAGTTTATAGCAGAGGTTAAGATCCTTGGGGGAATTTGGCACAACAACATAGTGAAATTGTTATGCTGCATCAGAGGAAAGACTACAAAGCTTCTTGTGTATGAATACATGGACAAACAATGTGTTCACAAATGGTTGCATGGAAAGAAAAGAAGCTTAACTACTCAAGTCTTGCAGTGGGAGAGGAGGCTAAAAATTGCCATTGGAGCTTCACAAGGGCTTTGCTATATGCATCACAGTTGCAATCCACCCATTATTCATAGAGATATCAAGTCCATTAACATACTCGTCGATTCTGACTTCAATGCCAAGATTGCAGACTTTGGACTGGCAAAGTTGATGGCAAGCGAAGGAGATCCAGAAACAGCATCTGCTATTGTGGGAACCTTTGGTTACATTGCCCCGGGTACATTTTTTTTTTTATATCTTCATCACTTCAATTCCCACTTATTTTTATACTTGCATAGTCACATATATCATGAGAATGCAGAATATGGCAGTACAAGAAAAGTGGATGCGAAGAGCGACATCTACAGCTTTGGCGTAGTTCTCTTGGAATTGACAACTGGAAGAGAAGCCGTGCTTGCAAATGAGGATATGAACCTGGCACAATGGGCACACAAACACCAAAGAGAAGGGAACTCAGCTGCAGATGCCCTAGATGAGGAGATCAAGGACCCGCGTTATCTGGAGGCAATGATCGCTGTTTTCAAATTAGGCCTTGCATGCACTTTGAATTCCCCATCAAGCAGGCCGTCCATGAAAGATATTTCACAGATTCTTCAAAGATACAGCGAGAACACTCATCTGTCTTTAGAGAGCCAATAGACAATATAATATTTCCATTTTACTTTTGAATGCAAAATATTTTGCAATGGTTTGTTTAGTTTAATTTGACTATTGCACTCACATTGCAATTATGCTGGATCCTTCATAATTCATAATGCAACTCCACATTGTTTCCTTGATTTTCTTAGATGTTAAAGTGACAAATAAACTTTCTGGAGCGCAATAGTAACTGCATTGGAGTTCCAAAATTAATAATATTCACAGGAATTGAAACAGGGAAATTAACCATTGGAGGAATTAATGAAGCATGTTTACCTGTTCACATGCCTCGCTTGTGTCTTCAAGCTCGTACGATCAATTATATACACCATGATTGCATCAAGATATCAACTCTAGCAACATAGTCTTAAAGTCCCAGAGTCTGAATTCAATACTAAGATTGCAGGCTTTACAAAGTGGACACAGTTTTAAAACTGTTTATAATTATGAATATAAGTTCAAAAATTATGAACATAGAATTGTGAACATAATTATGAACACATAGTTTTGCAATTATGACTATAAAGATTCAATAATTGTGAATATGAAGTTAAAAAATTATGAATATATAACTTTATAATTATGAACATATAGTTCAGTAATTGTGAACATAGAGTTGAATAATTATGAATATGAAATTCAAAAATTCAAAAATATGAATATATAGCTTTATAATTATAAACATATAATTTAGTAATTATGAACATAGAACAGTGTCTACCTTAGCTTGCGTACCACAACATATCGATTAGTAATTTAGTAATTTGGCACAACAACATAGTGAAATTGTTATGCTGCATCAGAGGAAAGACTACAAAGCTTCTTGTGTATGAATACATGGACAAACAATGTGTTCACAAATGGTTGCATGGAAAGAAAAGAGGCTTAACTACTCAAGTCTTGCTGTGGGGGAGGAGGCTAAAAATTGCCATTGGAGCTTCACAAGGGCTTTGCTATATGCACCACAGTTGCAATCCACCCATTGTTCATAGAGATATCAAGTCCAGTAACATACTTGTCGACTCTGACTTCAATGCCAAGATCGCAGACTTTGGACTGGCAAAGATGATGGTGAGGGAAGGAGATCCAGAAACAGCATCTGCTATTGTGGGAACCTTTGGTTACATTGCCCCGGGTACATTTTCATTTATATCTTCATCATTTCAATTCCCACTATTTTTTAAAACTTCCAGAATCACATATTTATCATGGGAATGCAGAATACAGCAGTACAAGAAAAGTGGATGCGAAGAGCGACATTTACAGCTTTGGCGTAGTTCTCTTGGAATTGACAACGGGAAGAGAAGCAGTGACTGGAAATGAGGATATGAACCTGGCACAATGGGCACACAAACACCAAAGAGAAGGAAAACCAGCTGCAGATGTCCTAGATGAGGAGATCAAGGACCTAAGTTATATGGAGGCAATGATCACTGTTTTCAAATTAGGCCTTGCGTGCACTTTGAGTTCCCCATCAAGCAGGCCATCCATGAAAGATATTTCACAGATTCTTCAAAGATGCAGCGACAACAATCATATGTCCTCAGAGTGCCAATAGACATTATAATATTTCCACTTTACTTTTGAATGGACTTGTCCCATTACAAATTCTTAGCAATGGTTTGTTTAAAGTGACTATTGTACTCACAGTGCAATTATGCAGGATCCATCATAAATTCATAATTCATAATGCAACTCCACTTGGTTTCCTTGATTTTCTTAGATGTTAAGAGAAAAATTAAACTCTCTGGTGCGCATTAGTAATTATATTGGAGTTCCAAAATTAATGATATTCACAGGAACCAGGAAACTTAAGCAGGCAGGAATTAATGAAGTATGTTTACCTTTTCACAGGCCTCGCTTGCGTCTTCAAGCTCGTACGATCATGTCCTCATCTCGAACCTCTTCTATACGTCGCTGCTGTGACAACTCCGGGAGTAGGTGGTGGTCATGTTCCACCTCCGGCACCGATTCCGGCGACTGTACCACCTCCTCCGTCACCACCAATTTTAGTAACTCAGAGCCACCAGCTGCTAATTCGCCAGACAGAAATCCTTGAAAAGTGTATTGGATGCGATTGTCCTGAATTGGTATTACTCCAATTTGTATTAGTGGGGAGGGGGAGTAGTACAAGCAATGATTTGGGCATCCTGGAAAAATGACGGGTTATCCAGGTGATAACGGCTATTGGACTTAAGTGCTCCAATTGACTGTTTAATTGAATTTTTAAGTTTAAGGGTATAATTATATGTTTTTATAAAGTTTAGGGGTTTGACTTTTTTTTTTTTCTCCTGTAATTTAAGACAAATTAAGATGAATGATTTAATTATTTAAAGGAGCAGCGAGACCAACCATTTGTCCAAAGTCGGACTTAAATTGCTAAACATAAATGCTTTGTTTGATATAGTTTGTCTTAGAGTTTATATGAGCTATAAATAAACTATAAGTTCGATATTTATTTAAAAAGAATGATAAATTTCTTTTGAAATTTGAGTAAATACTTAAAATGGTCCTTCGACTATAGCTAAATTCACAAATTGATCCTCAACTTTCAATTTCAACCAATTAAGTCCTTTAACTTTGTAATTTTGACACAATTTGATCCTCCATCTATTTGACCGTTTGTTGACTGTGATCGATAATCTCCAGAAAAACCTTCAGTTCTCGTTGGAGCACGTGGTGGCCTCCCGGATGACGTTGCACTAGTTCGGAAACACGTCGTCTTCTTCGCTCTGGTACAAACTCAACTACATTGAATCCTAAGGGAGGATGAAGAAAGGCGACCGAATTTGGTAGATTGCTTTCGGCAGTGGATTCAAATGTAATAGTGCGGTCTGGAAATACAACCAGAACCTTAAAAAATCGACGATGGACCATGAAATTACATATATATCCTCAAAAATCACAGTCAACAAACGGTCAAATAGACAGAGGACCAAATTGTGTTAAAATTACAAAGTTAAGGACTTTTTTTTTTTTTTTTGAATGCACAAAGTTAAGGACTTAATTGGTTGAAATTGAAAGTTAAGGACCAATTTGTGAATCTATAGTCGAGAGACCATTTTGAGTATTTACTCTTGAAATTTTGATAAACTCATATTGTGATTCTAGTCCACATTTTATATTGTCTATAATTGACTTATTCAATCGAAAATACTAATAAATAATTTTGAAGTTGAATTTGAAAACTTAAGACTAATAAGTAAATTGCGGACCAACATCTTCTGAAATCTTGTATTATGGCGAAGTTGAACTCCTACTCCCAATTTTTATTCTATCTCACAAAATTTTGATGTTAACATTTTTATTGGGACCCATAAAATGAAGATAAATAACCATCAATTCTTACCTCAAGAATAAAAATCAGAAAGTGAAAATAAATAATACATGTAATAGAACTCAAAAAAAAATGAATCTTCGGCCGTTCTTTTTTTTTTTTTTTTAATTAATTATATTATTTAAAGTTTTATTTAAAAATTATTTTTAAAATCATTTTTTTTTTGGTGAGGATTTTTAAAAGCATTAACCGTCATTTTAAGTAAACATGTCTTTTTGAACATAATTACATAATTTTGTATTATTTAAGGATCTAATTGCATTTTTTTGAATTCAATAACTTAATTAAATTTTATTGTGGAAATGGATGGCATATTTAACACTTATATTCCCAAAAAATATAATACTGAGTACAATGGACTATACTCCACTATTCCTCCACCTATTAAAAAAAATTACTAGTCAAAGTGTGTGGTGTGTGCAGTCTTGGCATTTGACTTGTAATTAAAAATTGCTCAAGAAATGGCGAGGCTGTGGGATGAGTTCAATATGCATACTTGTTTCAACATTCAAGGATCAGCAAAAGAAGATGAAGGCAAACAAGACTATAATGTTTTCTTTCTCTATTTCTATCTGCAGCCAGTCAATCTCTGTTTTTCTCCTTCCATTTGTGTTGCTCATCTTCTTTCTTCCGCCATCTTCACCAGCTCCTCCCAATCACAATGGGCTCTACAGGGACTCGCAGCAGCTATTATCGTTCAAAGCTACCATTTTTAACCAAACACCATTTCAGAACTGGGTATCATCCTCCACAAATCCCTGTAGCTTCACTGGTATTACATGCAAAGGATCAAGGGTCTCTTCTATAAATCTCACACACACTATGCTCAGCATAGATTTTGGGATGGTTTCTGCTTACTTGCTCAGTCTTGAAAACCTGGAGAGCCTTGTGTTGAAGAAAGCCAATCTCAGTGGCTCACTCGCTTCTGCCTCAAAATCCCAATGCGCTGCTTCTTTGAGGTACATAGATCTAGCTGAAAACTCCATCTCAGGGCCTGTTTCTGATATCTTTAGCCTTGCTCGTCAGTGCTATAATCTTAAGTTGTTGTCTCTGAAGGGTAATAAATTATCAGGAAAAATTTGGGAATTGAGGTTTATGAATTTGTCATATTTGGACCTTTCTGCCAATAATTTCTCTGAAAATTTTCCTCCATTTCAAGACTGCTCTAGTTTACAACATCTTGATTTATCATCCAACAAGTTTAGTGGTAATATTGATGCCTCCCTTTCTTCATGCTCCAACCTCAGTTTCCTCAATCTCTCCAACAATAAACTCTCTGGTGAGTTGCCTGTTGAAACCCTACTAAATTTGACTAGCTTGAAGACATTGGTTTTATCATTCAATTATTTTGTTGGTGGCTTGTCTGAGTCATTTTCTAGCTTGGTAAACTTAGAGACCTTAGATTTGAGTTCTAATAATGCGTCTGGTTTGATACCCTCTGGGATTTGTAAAGACCCTAAGAATAGCTTGAAAGTGTTGTACCTTCAGAATAACCTGTTTACTGGTCCAATACCTGAAAGTCTAAGTAACTGTTCCCAATTGGAATCTCTTGATCTTAGCTTTAATTACCTTAATGGGAAGATACCATCTGGCCTCGGGTCCTTGTTGAAGCTTAAGGATTTGATAATTTGGATGAATCAGCTTGAAGGGGAAATCCCAAGGGAGCTAATGTACTTGCAGTCTTTGGAAAATCTGATTCTTGATTTCAATGAATTGTCAGGGTCAATGCCTGAAAGTCTCAGCAACTGTACTAATTTGAAATGGATTTCTTTGTCGAATAATTTGTTGAGTGGTGCTATACCAGTTTCATTAGGGACCTTGTCTAATCTATCCATTCTAAAGTTGGGAAACAACACCATCTCTGGGAACATACCTGCTGAGTTGGGACATTGCCGCAGCTTGTTATGGTTGGATCTCAACACCAATTTCTTGAACGGTACTATCCCACCCGCTCTGTTCTTACAATCTGGCTTTATTGCAACGCCATTACTTACTGAGAAGCAATATGTGTATATTAAGAATGATGGAAGTGAGCAGTGCCACGGAGCAGGAAATATACTCGAATTTGGTGGGATTACACAGGATCGCCTTGACAGGATTTCAATGAGGAACCCCTGCAATTTTACTAGAGTCTACGAGGGCATTACACAACCAACATTTAACCACAACGGATCCATCATTTTTCTTGACCTTTCTTACAATAAGTTGGAAGGCAGTATTCCAAAGGAATTAAGTTCCATGTACTATCTCTCTATTCTGAATTTGGGGCATAATGATCTCTCTGGTCCAATACCTCAAGAACTTGGAGACTTGAAGAATTTTGCAATTCTTGATCTGTCGCACAACCAACTCAATGGCTCAATTCCACAGTCATTGACCAGCCTCACATTTCTTGCGGATATTGATCTGTCAAATAACCACCTTTCTGGAATGATACCTCAATCAGCTCCTTTTGACACATTTCCAGATTATAGGTTTGCTAATAATTCTGGCCTTTGTGGATACCCCCTTGCTCGGTGCGTTGCAGAATCAAATTCAAGTTCAAGTTCTAAGCCTAGCAGATCAAAGAAAAAGCATTACATCATTATACCTTGTGCTGTAATTGCAGGAGTACTTATTGGGTTAGTAATTCTGTTACTTGTGTTCAGACGTGGAGTGGAAGGGAGAGAGGACAATGATGAAGAAGAATGGAGTATCATTTCACTTCAAAGGTTGGAATTCAATAAATGGGAAATCTTGGCCAGTCTGACAGATGAAAATTTGATTGGAAAAGGAGGGTCGGGAAAAGTATATAGAGTGATCACAAGGCAAGGCCAAAGTGTTGCAGTTAAAAGTATATGGGATGAACAAAAGCCAGGCCACGGGTTGGAGAAACAATTCCTAGCAGAGGTTAAGATCCTTGGGGAGATTAGGCACTACAACATAGTGAAACTGTTGTGCTGCATCAAAGGAAAGAAGAAAAGGCTTCTTGTGTACGAATACGTGGACAATCAATGTCTTTATAAATGGTTGCATGGAAAGAAGAAAGGTTTAACATTTGTTGAAAGTTCTACTCAGGTCTTGCACTGGGAGAGAAGGCTAAAAATTGCCATTGGAGCTGCACAAGGGCTTTGCTATATGCATCATGATTGCAATCCACCCATTGTTCATCGAGATATCAAGTCCAGTAACATTCTCGTCGACTCTGACTTCAATGCCAAGATTGCAGACTTTGGACTGGCAAAGATGATGGCGAGTGAAGGAGATCCAGAAACAGCATCTGCTGTTGTGGGAACCTTTGGTTACATTGCCCCTGGTACGTTTTTATATCTTCAAAACTTCAATTGCTTTTGCGTCTTATACTCACAGAATGACATTGTATCAAAATGCAGAGTATGGCAACACAAGAAAAGTGAATGTTAAGAGCGACATCTATAGCTTTGGTGTAGTACTCTTGGAATTGGCAACTGGAAAAGAAGCTGTTACTAGAGATGAGGACATGAACCTAGCACAATGGGCACACAAACACCAAAGAGACGGAAATTCAGCTGTAGATGTCCTGGACAAGGAGATTAAGGATCCACGTTATTTGGAGGCAGCAACCACCGTTTTCAAATTAGGCCTTGCGTGTACTTTGAGTTCACCTTCAAGCAGGCCATCCATGAAAGGCATTTTGCAGATTCTTCAAAGATGTAGTGACAATAGCCATTTGTTATCACACAGCTGATGAGCATTGTAACAAGAATAGGTTTCAACACTCTTTCGGTAAGCACCCATAATCATGCAACTCCTCTTTCCTTTCTTTAAAGATGTGCTGTTATATACCCAGACTTGGGGAATGAGAATTAGGTGCATCTCCTAGATGGGGATTCATTCTGCTTGGCAAAAATTTAGCTGTCTTCTTTCTTCTATCAATGATACTTTTTTCTCATTTAAAGGCTAGCTGTTGTAAATCTTGTAATGCTTGTATATGATTTATATAAAATATATAATTATTAATAAGTATTAGTAGCATGGTGAGGTGAGAGAGTTAGGTAGAATTGGTAAATATTTATTTAGATATCATTGACTCCAAGACCAAGACCAAGTCCAAGTCCACCCAACTTTTATTTCATATTTTCACATTAAGCAATAGACCAAGTCAGCCTCTTTTAGTGAACAAAAGTCAATGATGAGCAATATAATAGACCAGGAAGACCAAGGATCCAAATGCTCCTCTGCATAATACTACATTAACAGCTTAGAAGCAGCATCTTTGAATGAGTGATGAGGGAAACCCGCAGTCACTACCCGAGGATATGCACTGGATAAGTCCCGCCTTGTGATCCTAACCGGCAAAGGACCACAGGAGGTAAACCAGCCTAGGTTGCCTTACTTTCCTATAACTGACCGGCTCAAACCAAGAAGCAGCCGGCAACTTTATATATATGGATCATCTATATCATATATTCAAATGCATTTTGGTTTTCCCTCTTATTAGCTTAATTAACTGTTTGAAAATGCTGCAGCCTCTTCATCATGCCTTCTTATTCCTCATCCTCCTTTTTTCCCAAGCAAATTCAGAATCTTCAACCACTGAAAGGGCTATTTTACTTAGCCTAAACCAACACTGGGGAAATCCATTTGACCAATGGAACTCCACTTCCTGGCCGTGCGAGTGGCCTTATATTTCATGCGTCCAAGGAAGCGTCACAGAGATATCACTCCCCGGAATGGAAATTGGATCATTCCCCTCAACCATTATATGCCAGCTCAAAAACCTTACTTCAATCAATTTCAGTACCAATAGTCTCAATGGAACTATACCAGCTAGTCTCTCCAGCTGCTTAAAGCTTGAAACATTGAGTCTGAACACGAATTCTTTGACAGGAAAAATACCAGGTGAGTTGTTCTCCATGAAAAGGCTGCGTTGGTTAAGTCTTCGCCAAAACAAGCTGTCCGAGATGCCAACACCCTTGGTGCCTAACAGCTTGGAATATCTTGATCTTTCAAGTAACCAATTGAATGGATCAATACCTGATGATATAGGAAATTTATACAATCTGCTCTCCCTAGATCTGTCCATGAATTCTTTTAGTGGCCCAATACCTGCCAGATTGCTAGGATTGCATAAACTGACTCATCTTTCACTTGCTTTTAATAGTTTGACTGGTGAAATACCTGGAAAACTGGATTTATTTTATCTGAATGACTTAGATCTTTCTCATAATCATCTTAGTGGAGCGATTCCAAACGGTTTTGGAGAATTACTGGAATTGAATTCTATGGATGTATCTCATAACCAGTTATCTGGAGACATATGGGAAAGTGTTAGCCATCTGGGGGCTACACTGAAGCTTAGTATTTGTATGAACAACCTTTCTGGAAGAATCCCTAATAAACTAGTGAATGGAAGATTTACATTTACCTGCTTTGATCAAGCTAATATATGTTCAGATGTATTAACTGAGGGATTGCAACCATGCTCTTCAGATCGGTGTTCTGATTATACAATTCGACAATACATGAATTGCAGTTCCATGCCTAGTAAATCAAAGAAAAAGAGTTACATCATTATAACTTGTGGTGCAATTGCAGGGGTACTTATTGGGATAGTAATCCTGTTACTCGTGTTCAGACATGCAGGGGAAAGGAGAAAGAAAAATGATGGAGAACAATGGAGTGTGATTCCATTTCAAAGGTTGGATTTCAATAAATGGGAAATTTTGGGTGGTTTGACAGATGAAAATTTGATTGGAAATGGAGGGTCAGGAAAAGTATATAGAGTGATCACCAGGAAAGGCCAGAGAGTTGCTGTTAAAAGTATAAGGCATGAACAAAAGCAAGGGCAGGGATTAATGGAGAAACAGTTCCTAGCGGAGGTTAAGATCCTTGGGAGAATCAAGCACAACAACATAGTGAAGCTGTTATGTTGCATCAGAGGGAACACTACAAAGCTTGTTGTGTATGAATACATGGACAAACAATGCCTTCATAAATGGTTGCATGGAAAGAAGAAATGCTTAACTGCTCAAGTCTTGCAGTGGGAGAGAAGGCTAAAAATTGCCATTGGAGCTGCACAAGGCCTCTGCTATTTGCATCACAATTGCAGCTCACCCATTGTTCATCGAGATATCAAGTCCAGTAACATACTCGTCGACTCTGACTTCGATGCCAAGATTGCAGACTTTGGACTGGCAAAGATGCTGGCGAGTCAAGGAGATCCAGAAACAGCTTCCGCTGTTGTGGGAACTTTTGGTTACATTGCTCCGGGTAAGTTCTTTATATCTCCATCATTTCAATTCCCACTATTTTTTATACTCTCGTAATCACATATATAGCATGGGGTTGTAGAATATGGCAACACAAGAAAAGTGAATACGAAGAGTGACGTCTACAGCTTTGGTGTAGTGCTCTTGGAATTGACAACCGGGAGAGAAGCTGTGAGTGCAAATGAGGAGATGAACCTGGCACAATGGGCACACAAACACCAAAGAGAAGGAAACTCAATTGTAGACGCCCTGGATGAAGAGATCAAGGACCCATGTTATCTGGAGGCAATGATCGCTGTTTTCAAATTAGGCCTTGCGTGCACTTTGAGTTCCCCTTCAAGCAGGCCGTCCATGAAAGATATTTTGCAGATTCTTCAAAGATGCAGCGAAAACAGTCATCAGTACTGAGTGAATGGTATGCAACATTTCCATTTTCCTTTTGAATGGACTTGTCCCATTATGATGTAATCTTTGCAATGGTTTGTTTAATGTGACTATGACCAATTTGGTGGTGACAATTATGCAGGATCCCCTAGAAGGCATCATAATGGAACTCCATTTTCTTTCCTTGATTTCTTAGATGTTAACAAACACAAAAGAAGAATATACTTTCTGTGGCACAATAGTAATTATATTGGAGTGCCAAAATCAATAATATCCACAGGGAAACAGGTTTATTTATTTCCCCAGAGAGAGTGGATTAGAACAAAATGGATGCCTTACCCATGTGTACTGTTATGATACAGAAACCAATAATTATTATTGAGTTAATACCCAAAAACGGTGGTAGTTTTTCTGGATTTCGTCCTAAACGATTTTTGTGATCTAATGTAGTCCCAGACTTGTATGTTTTTGTTCAATGTAATTCTCCTTTGCTATTCTATCCTTTTATCCAATTTGTGTTAAATAGAATGTCAATTTGGTAATTTCAATATTTACCTCTCATTTACCCTCTTTAATTTGTCATTCTTTTCAAATTTCTTATCTTCCTCATTCTTAATGTTTAAACTATTCTCTACTAGCAATGTTAATCCTTTGCATAAGATGGGATTTTCCATGTAAGTTTAAGATGATAAATGAGAGACAAATATCGCAATTACCAAATTGACATTCTATTTAACACCAATGGTATGTACGGAATAACAAACGGTGGACTACATTGAGCAAAAACACAGAAGTCTGAGACTAAATTGGATTACAAAAGTCGTATAGGACTAAATTGAGAAAAACCATCATAGGTATTAACTCAATTATTATTTTATTTTATTTTGCACTTGTGCCATTATATGCATGGCAGATAAAGAAAAAGTATAGATTTTGCAGAGTTGTTGCAACTTTTAGTAGATTGTTGTCTTGTTGACATAACATAGCATAGCAAATTAAGTTATGGCAAGGAGCCAAGAAGGTGGCAGTAAAGGGACTGTACATATGGAGAAGGTGAGATTTAGTGAAGTCAGAAGAAGTTGGAAGCAGATCAGAGGCATATATGGAGGCACATACTGGATACTGAATGAGGATTAAGGAACATCAAATATGAGGTTTCTGATGCATTTTGCTTTTAGCTTTTAGGCATCAAATAGTGAATCATCAATGGCTTTTTTGGTCTTGCTGCATCTTGACCCTGACTGTGTACTGTGCTGCATATTTTATAGTTTCTTGTTTTTCTTGAACAATATCCAATGTTTTTATAATATTATTACGAGAGTAATTCAAATTCAACTTGATTGTATAAAATCATAAGATACTTGATAAGAATTTGATTCTTAATTTGTCCATGGACCAGGCCGGCCCAGTCTAGCCCGTTAGCCATACATTTAAATATATATATATACTACACGGCAATTTATATCGTGCACCAGGGCGCGCATTGCATTGTGCGTCCTAATGCAAAACGATATTGTTTTGAAATTAATTTTTTTTGTTGGGAATTCTGCTTTTCTGTGTCGATTGTTAATTATATTAAATCTCATGTTTTAAAAATGTACATAATTGTATATTAAAATATACATAATTGTATAAAAAAAAAATACACATACTTTACACTACTCAAATAGAGTGAGCATGTATAGCAGCATACATACATATACTTAGGTATTAAGGAAAAGAGTGTGAGCGTGTACATGTGCGATTAGGCATAGATTCCATCCTCTTCATTCAAAGTTGATCAGCTGGTAAAGTAAAAGCACAAAAAGATTATCAATGAACGTGAAAGGATGAGTTTTTGTTTCTGTAAAGTCGCAATAAAAAAGCTTCAATCACTCTCTTTTATAAAGCCACTATACATTAAATACTCTCTTAGATTGGTTAGCCCTATTTATTTATTTAATTTTTTTAAATAACGATAAAAATTGCAGTTATTATCTGGTGATGTATAGAGGTAAGTCACACAAGAGAAGTAAATTGCACTAGAAAGATTATGTGCGATGTACTTAATTGACCAATAGGGTTTTGGGAATAATCAAATTTGTGACCTTCTGGTATGAGAATTATGTTAAACTGACTCAACCACTGCACCTTTATCGATACCAGTTATTTTATATCTTATTCTAATAATTAAGTTATTTATTTTGTAAAAAGTCATATAGTTTTACCCAATATTAAATCTAACTTTTATTGGATAAATGAGGTTAACTTTTACTGATTGTATATAATAGTAGATGAACAAAACTGTTGTATACGTACAATTTGATTAGTTAACTTGTGGCAAGATAATTAGTTGGAGTGACTGATAAATAGAAAATGTCATAAAGATATGTTAGAGCATACACCAAATATTCCCTTTGTTAATGCATGAAGATGAACAGCTTTTGGCTCAAAAGTTTGTTCATATTGTCTAAGTTAATGTTCTGTGTATTAAATGTGTACTGTGTAAGTGAATTTACACATAATTTAGTAAATTCACACATTTTATAAATCTCCCGTCATAATAATCCGATGAAGATTGTTGAAGAATGAAGTATTATTAAAAAAAAAAAAAAAAAAAAAATTAGGGTTATTGTCTCACACTTTCACTCAAAAATGTTAGATAACTCATTTTATATAACTAAACGGTGAAACGATCGACAAATTTAAATATCTTATGTTCCATCAATACATAAAAGTCAACAAACACCTAATTACCTATATTAATCAAACTCGTTTCCTAAAGTCTAGCTAGACATTACATGATTACAATACTTAATTCTCAATATATAATTATAATATAATTATATTCATAATTAATAATAATAAAGAAAAAACATTACATTAACATCCCATATTAGCTATGATCTATAAGAATTTGTGGGGCAGTATATAAATTCAAAGGACTCTCTCATTTATTGGATTGGTCTTTTAGGATAGACTCTTTAATTTATGAGAAAGCTCGTAATTGCTACTGAATGTGTGCTTTAAGTGAAGTTAACTTTGTGACTTTAAACAATAAAAAAAAATTATAATAAGATAAAATAGTATAAGTTGTTTTAAATTGAAAAATCAATAAATAACTCTTACGAAGAGTTGAAATTTTAGGGTGCACAATGAGAAAGTGGCCAATATTCGTCTATAAGGACTATCATTCATAGCTTGGTATTTTGGGAAAGAGTTAATTGTGTTAGACTGTTAGTTGCTCTAATCATAGGGTCATAGCCAAGCTTCTATGTTAAGATTGGAGCATTTAATGTAATGATGTCGTGTAAGGAATTATTTTTGGAATTTACACCCGTGACTTCTTTTTCAGATATTATCATAACCATCAGGTCTTTAATTTGTCTGTTTGACTTTTGAGGTTTTGCTAACAATATTTTTAAAAAAAAATCCATTTTAACCACATTATTTGTGATAATAAATCATTCATGTTTTTCAACTTCATCTAGTTATCGATTTGAAGACACGTGATTAAAGTATTATACTATTATTTCTATAGATATATACTTTATTTTTTTTTATATTTGTTGATAATGCATAATAATTAATATGAGAAAAATATTAGGTGCATTTTCAGAGCTGCAGAGTATTGCTTTCGTCATATGATTTGTATTGAATTATTGATCAAGTGAAAATGAAAAAAAAAATGACACTCTTTATAACAAATAATCAATTAACACATTAAAGAGTAAAGAGTAAAATAGAAGTTATATGTATTTATATAATTCGACGCATTAATATATTATAATGAAATGTCATGGAGTTGCCTTATGCCTAAGAGATATGAGCGATAGGCAAAACTTACCATGATCCTAAGTTGTGTTGAGGTATAAATTTTTAAAAAGTTGAATTGAATAAAGATTAGCAAGTTCGTATTAGGAAAATTAAATAGAGACTCGTAATAAATGATGTGTAAACACATATTTATTATTGGCTATCGAAGAATTAATTAAACATGATTGGCTATGCTTGATATAACATATTCATAAAGAATAAGAGAAATCAGATACTTGTGCAGACTAACTGATTAATTTTCACGATCATACCCACTATAATCTTTTGATAATTAAGATCACTCTCAATAATATTAAATATTTACTATTCACTAATATTATAAAAATTACTTCTTTTACTATCTTCTCTTGCATAATCAGTAGTTATCTTTTTTTTTGAATGCGCATAATCAGTAGTTATCTAATTGTTTATTCTCTTAACTAAATGATTTTTTTTTAGTACAACTAAATGAATATTTAATTGTATATGATAATGATATGTTCCAAAACCAGGTCAAAAAGTGTCAACCTTTTTCTATACTTTGGTACCCAACATAGTATACGACTGGCTACATTATTATTATAATTATTATATCTATCTGGTCCACTTCATAGTCCATTAAATTTTGCTTTTTGGTCCTGGAAATTTTACTGCTGTTACGATTACAGTTTTGGCCAAATAGGAGTTGGTATTAGGTAATATCTACACTCGAAACGCAACGAAATAGTTGGTATATATTAGACTGTACTATATATTAGGTAATTTGTGAATCCAAAATGCAATGCAATATCTATCACAAATACAGAATGACTTTTCTTTTTATATTTTAACGCGACATACATTTATGTTTCTCTTTTATTGTTGAATTTGAGTTTATAAATATGAATCCTTTTTCTAACAATCATCATTGTTGGAACAATGTGATTGATATTCAATTGTTACGGTTGGTTTTAAGACTACAAGGTAACCGGTCGGTAGGTCAACACGATCGTTAAACTAAACCAGAATAATGTAAAAACAACACGAAAGTAGTGTTATTGCTATAGAGTGAAAAATCCAGTCTTTTACCATGTGACCCTAGATTGGGAGTCGGGAGGGGGAGGGAGGTATTTATACATAGGCATGTGAATGCCAAAAAAAAAAAAAAAAAAAAAAAAAAAAAAAAAAAAAGGAAAAGATTGACAAAATTAGACAAATCTTTCTAAACTAGTTTTGGATTTGTTTCCTAAGTTGCATGATCCATTTCTTAATATTGGAAAAGGAAATTCCGCGAAAAAATCTGGAAAGAATCTTGGGGTGTCATCCCTTATAATGTGTCAGCACTGCGGTTTGCCCTTTCTCTGCTGATTGTCGACCACTCGTTTTCCGACTGCCTAGCGAGTGGGTACCGACTGGGTATCCATCATTTGCTATAATAATATAATGAAAATATGTCTCGAAATGAGTGATTGAGTAGGTGGATCATGATTCTCGTATAAAAAATTAAAAATTCAATTCTTAACAAAATTAAACAACTAATAGTAATCAAATAAGTTAAAACTAACTTATAAACTAACTATGTTGCAAAGTCCATAACTCTATTAGTCTATTATACTCTCTAATAATATGTCTTTATCTCACTAATTTTTAAATTATTTGAATATCTCCACCAAATTAAATATCTGGCCATAAGGCATATCTTGACCCTTCAACCACACAATAACTATTTCTGAGTCGCTCTCAATCTCAATTTTACAATAATGTTGTTCACAAATAAATTGTAGTAATTCATTGAGAATAATCCAAGTATCCAACTCTCAAACTCTTTTTCCACACACAATAATTTATCTATTTAATATTTATCCAAATTTAAAAAGGAATGAGTAGGGCCCAGTTAAGTGTGGGAGAATCTCGTCCTTTTCCGCTTTCCCCGTTCCTATCATCGCAAGGCCGGCAAGGGTCCATCTTCATAGTGCCGTTTAAAGGGCCCACTTCTGCTGGGCCCCATATTTTCCACTACTTTTTAAAAATCCAATCATATTAAATACTTAAATAGAATGATATACAAGACATGAAACACCCCCACATTCCTCAAATCAAATGCAACATATTCATTTTCCTTTTCTTTATTTTTATATTTTGTAGTATATATTCCCAATTAGGTAATGGCTGACACAGTATTAATTTTTAATACATATGAAAAAAAAAAAAAAGAATTTTGAATGTATTCTTTATGAAGGTAATTTTTTTTTTTTAACACATTCTGATTCTATTAGAAAAAGTAGAAGTGGAAAAATCAATATCAAATATGTCATTAAATTTATCACTTCGGTGTAATTGGGTCACTAAACTTAAAAAGTGTACAATTAAATTATTAAACAAATAAAATGTGTATTGAGTATTTTTCTAATATTTTCAAATACAATCTTATAATATTACTTACATGGTATGTACTAATAATCAGCATTTCTTTTGTTATACTAGTTGAGATAAAAATTTAAAATGTTTTAATGTGTT